GACAACCTCTCGTCAATATGCGTTTTTCGCATTGCATTGCTGCAAAAAACGCATAAAAATGACTGTTAGTAAGAAGTGAATTTTGCTTTGCACCCGGCAGAATTGCGGAAACGCTTAAAATTATATCTGAGATTTCAAGCAGCTGATTACTTGCTGCTCAATGTTTCACCGCGCAATTAGCTATTTCTGTACTTCTGATAACTAGACATTTGTCATCGTTACCACAATCATTACTGTTATTACTGCCGCTAAATTTTCGTTACTATTAATATCATCACCACTATTATTGTCATTATTCACTTGTTTACTAGTAAGTCATCCTTGTTCAGTCCCATTAATCATAAATTTGAAACTATTCTGACTAATTTGTAACTATCAGCTGTTTGGCTTGGTTTGCAACTCTCAAGCAAAAGTCGAGGGTTCGATTTCACCAAACCCTTTACGATTAGTTCATTCATTTCGCTGGTAAATTTCCACCAATGAAAATTTTTATTTTCTTCACCTGCCAACTCATTTCGTCCCTTTCACTGAAATAATTATGCTCAATGGATCGAAACTAACAAGAAGAATAGCGAAAACAAGGAGTACAGGCACTTCAGTTTTGTCCAGCGCTAAATCATCCCAGTTTAAAATGTCACGTTCTGATTCTTTCGGTGTATCCGTTGATCTCAGTTCTGAACAGCCTGAAATTCCTCAGATTGTTGTAACTTGAACAGGTTTTTATTTTTTTCAATCATTATTTTTTTAACACGGTAATTAGTTGTCTGACCGTACTGAAGGAACGAGAGACAACGAATGGATAAAATGAATTATCGAATGGTACTCACGAACTGTCGAAAGAACAGGGAGAAGGTTGCCACTGAGATGGAAAGATGCGCTCGAACGAATACTACAAATGATATTATGTGTAGGAGGAGAAGTTACCAAACGCATCAGCGGTGAGAATGGACGTGAAGATGGAATAACAACTGATTAAAGAACCAATGTAGTATTGGCGCGAGTAAAATGTATGCATTTCCACTTATCTTCCAGCAGCAGGAGCAAAAAACAGAAAAAAAAAAGTTTACAGCGAGAAAAACGAACCGGCGGCTCGGGATCGGAATTTGACAAACTGACGTTTCAGAGCACTCTGTGCTTGTTTCATCCGATTATACAGCAATATGGTGCATTCGGATAAAAATTTGCCCAGGTCTCCGATTGTTATGATTGCAAGGGGTGCGCCAAAAAGTGCAAATACAACACATGCAATCCGTCCATACGGCGTCACCGGTACTATATTACCATAGCCTTGAAAAAAAAATAACCGCCGGGCAACTGGAACGAATTGGCCAGAACGATTTTAACAAAAGACCTCCGTAAATTGTGCGCGGATATTTCGGACTGATTCCTTTTTGCAGTGATGCTGACCAGTGGACTCATTATCATTACTACAAGAGGTTATTATTATTATCGTCGCGACAGGACTTATTATTATCCCTAATTTCTCAAATCGTGGCGCATTAACCACAACACGGTCTGTTTCTGCTACAGGTATTCGCAATAATTAGGTTGTCTGTACTGAGCTGACGATGCAGCGTAAAAATTGCAAAAGACTGGATGTGACAGTACATTGATTTTAAAGCTTTAAAGTACATTGATTCTATTGCTCGCGGTGCATTGGCGGATCCAGAGGGAAAGAGAGGAAGGGGCGCGAGGAGCCTTTCGTCCCCCAAAGGCTCAGGTAGCAGTTGTTTTACTGTAGAAAAATCTATTCGGTACCTCCTGTCGCTCCTTTTCCCCAGGAGCTCTGCCACTTTTAGTTTAGTGTCCATCAAAAAGAACACGGAGGGGGAGGAGGGTGGTGGGACGATCGGAGGGTGGGGGAAAGGGGATAGCGAAACGAACGATAGGTGGGTTGGGAGCTGACCGAGGGAGGGGTGTAGAGACGGAGAGAGAAGGGGAAGTAAAAAATCCCCCCGCCTCCCCAGGAGACCGCCCTGGTCTGCCCAAGTTGCGGTTACCACCGGTCAAGTATTACTTTTCTTAAGCATGAAAGATTAGTTATCTCGTTGGAAATCTAGGACATTACACGCTTCCAAATTCATCTATCTATTACAATTCTCAAGAGAGATTTCTGGATTCTCATCCTTAATAGAAAATGCACCAAGCCGAATGTTCCACTAAATCTTAATCAATCCGAGATGGCTTTGTAG